CTCCATCTTCCTTTCAAAGCTGGTTCCTCCGTCGGGCTTTTCTTTCTTAGTGAACAGCACTGTGCTCCATCCAGATGCACGATCAGAAACCCGGGAGGCATCCTTCTCCCTCACCCTTCATGATCACCAAGTCTTTTTTTTTTTTTTGAGTCGGAGTCTCACTCCACTCTGTCGCCCAGACTGGAGTGCAGTGGCCGCTCCCGGCCACCGCAGCCTTGACCTGCTGGGCTCCGGCGATCCTTCCGCCTCAGCCTTCCGAGTAGCAGGAACTACAGGTACGTGCTACCATGCCTGGCTAATTTTTGATTTCTTTATTTTATTTTTTATTGTAGAGACGAGGTCTCGCCAAGTTGCCCAGGCGGGTCTCAAACCCGCAGGCTCAGACAATCCACTCAACTTGGCCTCCCAAAGTGCTGGGATGACAGGCTGAGCCACTGAGCCCGGCCTGATCACCGAGTTTTATAATCTCTAGTCTCTAAAGAGATCTCCAATAGATGGATGGACTGTACTCTTCATCCTCTTCCACTACCCCAGTTAAGATCATCAGTCTCTCTAGCTTAGATTTTCCTCTTTCACTGAGTATCCTGCCACAGTCTTGCTGTCTTTTCGTCCGTTCTTGACACCAGCCAAGTGAGTCTTACTGTCTCAGTATTCAGTCATGCCCACTGCACCAGGAAAAAACTCACCCAGTGCCTTCATGACTTACAGCACCTCCACGATCTGTGCTCTGCTTGCTTCCAGGCTCATCTCTCACTGTTCCTTCCCTCTCCTGTGGTCTAGCAGTTGAAAGAAACTCCTCTCTGTTCAGGGCTTATAACTCCGAGATAAACTCCCTCTCCACTCCAGAACCAGGCCACTGGACATAGGTGGTTTCCCCTGGCTGGAGTGCTCTCATTCCTTCCTTCACTTGGTCAACAGTGTACTAAAAATGGAAGCCTTGGCTCACATATCGCTTTGTCTGGGATGCTCTTTTCCTCCACTTGGAAGTATCCCAAGCATGTAGGACAGTCTATAACAGGTACTTCACGAGGTGAAAGAATGAGGGTCTGACTATATTGCCTAGGGCAGCGGTCCTCAAACTACGGCCCGCGGGCCACATACGGCCTGCCGAGGACATTTATCCAGCCTGCCGGGTGTTTTTGCCGCCTTCACTTGTTATGACTAGCAGTGACAAATATGGAACCGGACATTGACCATCTCATTAGCCAACAGCAGGCCCATAGTTCCCACTGAAATATTGGTAAGTTTGTTGATTTATTAACTTTACTTGTTCTTCATTTTAAATATTGTATTTGTTCCCGTTTTGTTTTTTCACTTCAAAATAAGATATGTGCAGTATGCATAGGAATTTGTTCATAGTCTTTTTCTTTTCTTTTTTTTGAGTTGGAGTCTCACTCTGTCGCCCAGACTGGAGTGCAGTGGCCGCTCCCGGCCACCGCAGCCTCGGCCTGCTGGGCTCCGGCGATCCTTCCGCCTCAGCCTTCTGAGTAGCCGGAACTCCAGGCATGCGCCACCATGCCTGGCTGATTTTTTGATTTATTGTAGAGATGAGGTCTCACTGCCCGGCGGGTTTTGAACCCGCGGGCTCAAGCAATTCACTCACCTCAGCCTCCCAAAGGCGCGGGATGACAGGCTGAGCCACCGAGCCCGGCTCATAGTCTTTTTTTTTTAAACTATAGTCCGCCCCTCCAACGGTCTGAGGGACAGTGAACTGGCCCCCTGTTTTAAGAGTTTGAGGACCCCTGGCCTAGGGTCACACAGCCTGGAGGTCGTGGCCTGAGAAGACGCGGGTTTCCTGCCATCATGCAGACACCTGCCTTATTAGCCTCAATTGCATTTGCTCTCTTCATGAAGCCTTAGGAACTTCCTTTGCACGTGTTTCTAAAATGTTGCACGTCTATACTGTGGGCTGTGGATTTTGCACCTAGAGCGGGTCAAAGTCAGCTACTCTCTAAAGTTGTCTTTGACTCCCCTAGAAAGTGGAAGCCCTGGTTCCTGCGCTCTTGTGGAACTCGCAAATCCTCTTGTGACAGTTTTCAAACTGGTTTCCTTCCCCCAAAACTTGTGAATTATCCTAAAATTAGGACTATACCAGACTCATTTCGCATCTCTGGTATCTGGGACTGTTCTTGGGACAGAGCGGTACTTAATATATGTTGAACTGAGTGGCACTCCAGAAATGAAAAGTGTCCAAACTAGGGCAACTAAAAATATCCCCCCCCCCCAAAAAAAAAAATGGAGGCATAAGAAGACAGACTAAAATGAGGATGGCTCTGCCTTCTGGAGATATGGAGTTTGCGAAAAGGCCTGGCTTTGGCGAAATTAAGGCTCAAGAGGCAGGGAGAGAAGATGGTGCCCCTGTGGGAACAGACAGCCTCGCCCGGGGAGTATCAGCAACCCTTCGGTGGCCTTCCTGCCTCTTTATTCAGAACTGGAGTCGGAAAGGAAGACCCTCACTGTAGAGCATTCACAGAGCGCTTCCTATGCCTGCGGGGGAAGCCCCAAGTCAGTGCTGGAGACGCAGGCAGGCCTCACAGGTGGTGCAGGTTCCTGGAATGGCAACCACAGGCATCCAATTGTGATGGAAATGGAACTGAGATTGAGGCAGAAATTTCCTCCTTAGTCCTGGTCTCCTCCTGGGGTTCTGGGCAAATCTCTCCCTTCCTTCCTCTGTGGAACAAGAGATTTCAACAAGATGGTCTTCAGCGGCCCTTCCCGCTTCAGGAAATCTACTGTGTGTGGGCTTGACCCACGGGTTTACTTAAAGCAGTTGCATAACCAGGGGCGAGAAGACTGTTTTGTTAATGCATGCAGTGCAGACATCCAAACTTCTCCTCTTTACTCCTGTAATTTGACCTGGACCAGCCAAAGCCCTCGTGACTATATCCCCTCCTTCATTTGTAGTAAGCACAGCCAAAACTCCCTCAATAAAAAAGTTAGAGATACAGCGAGGCTGTGAAGCAGCGGTTTGCTGACTGCCCAAATCAATGAGGCAACGTTTCAAAAATGCAAGTGCCAAAGCTTTGCTCCAGATCTGCTGCCAACTCAGAATTTCCAAGGTAGAGCCCCAGGAATATGTATGTTTTGTTTTGTTTTTTAATAGTTGCCCTTTGATTTTGACAATCAACTAATTGGGGATTTTTTTTTTTTTTTTTTTTAGTTTGTGTTTCTCAAAGGGTAGCCTTTGGATTACTTTCAGGTGAGTTATCTAAGAGGCCTGTTAAAAATAACTGGAAGTGCAGTTAAGAATTTGCACTTGAACAATTCTCTCAGTGATTTTATTAATACTATCTTCAGCCACAAAATAGCATGTATATGCTGACAAGTGAAACCTTGAGGGTGAAACCAAGGTCTACAAACAGTATGGAAGAGATAGGAAATCACATTGCCACATAGGTTTATTTAATTATGAGGTATATTATATTGTTTCATCATTACCTTTAATTCCCTTAACAAGCCTGAGATGTCAGCATCATTACTCTCATTTTACCGACAAACTGAAGCATTACAGAGTTCAGGTAACTGGCGTGGAATCACAAGATTAATAAATGTATGCACTGGAACTGAAAGCTAATGCCACATACGAGGAAACAATCTTAGTGCTACAGAATGTGTAATTAGGTATTCAGTACATCACACAGTTTGCTGGGATGTTACCTGATGAAGCAAGTTAGAAATATGTTTCAGTTCCTGCTGGTTGGTTTTATTAGCTACTGCACACGTGTTAATGCCATTATAATAATCACAGATTAACTGAGATAAAATGACTATTAACTGCTAGGCAGCAACATTTCAGGCATTTCCTGGAATCGTGAAATGATCTAAGGTAGCCCTCATTTTCACCAACAGCCTTCAAACACAAATACTTACTGTTGAGAAGCCTAGGATGATGCTGTCCAAGACCTTACACAGCTAGCAAGGAGCCGGCTTGGCTTCAGACCTTAGTTATACTACTTTGCTGTACTGCTCTGTCCTTACATCGTGGTCCTGGACTCTGGTTGTTAAACTTGATATACTAAGTATTTGCTTCAGGGCTGCAAAAGAACGTCCTTAGGCTTGAAGTTTTCTTTCAGGGAATAAAATACCTTTATACAGCAAGCGCCTTTTTTTTTTCCTCTTTCACGAATTCTTTTTTTTTTTTTTTTTTTTTAAGAGATGTAGGGTACAATTCAGGTAAAGTGCGGGCCTCACTTTGGTCCCCAACATCACCTGGTTTGACATTAGGTATCCTTATTGATGAAGTGTGCCCCCCCCGACCCCCAGCAGTTTTCCACTACTATCAATCCCTTTCTTATTGTATTATGAAAATTGTTCAGGGTCCGCGCTTATGAGTGAGCTCACGGATTCTTCTAAACTCATCTACAGAAACAACTGTTTGTGAAAATGTGTGTTTGCCTGAACTCCCGTCAATAAAAATAGGAAGGGTTTCCCTGCTTCTCCTTCCTGAGTTGATCGGTTGATTTGGGATACAGAACAATAACAGGCATTTCATACATATGATGAGCTGAATGGAACTTAGCTATTAGGAGAGCTAACTTTGATTTATTAAAAACAAATTTCACTGAAAGTGTTCATGGAAAAGCCACATAACTTGTAACCGAATGCAGATTCTTGGATCTTTTGTGTTCATGTCCTGTCCTTTTTCTCTTCCTTCTCATCAATGTTACAAACTTTCTAAAATATGTGAACGTAGATACAGTTTTCACAAAGAGGAAACAGGTAATGAAAGTGGTGCTTAATGATTTTGAGAAAGAGAAGTTGCCTAAGAATAAACCAAATATTCATCAGCTACAGCCAGATTGAGTGAAGACTTTCTGACTGAGATGCTGGTTTCTTTAGTTTGCTTCTTGAGGAGTGGCAGGTTGTTGTGTGTGTTTTTCTCTCATTCAAATCCTTCATGCTACCTTTAGCTATATCCTGTCAAGTGTTTGACCGTGGGAACCATTTCTTCCACAAAATCAAGATCTGATTTCCTAAATGAAGAAGAAACGGATACTTACAAACCTCCGATTAAAATATGCTGCTATTTCTGAAGCAGGCTTGGGAAGAAACGCGGGTAAAATTTCTTTCCTGCAAAGCAAAAAACAGCACTATGAAAAACCAGAAAAGGTGACCGTTCAGTTAATTATTCAAATCTTAATCATTTTGGCTGTTTTTTAAAAACAGGTTAAAACCAATAAACACCCGACTTGCCTGAAAAAAGCAGAACCACGAATTCAACAATAAAGTTTTCTCTTAACAGTCAAAAAGACTTGATTTGTAGCTATGATGACCAGCTACAAAATCTAGTGGATAATTATTACATCAGTGCTATTGGGATGGATGTCAAGTTCAGAAAATTATCATGTAAAAACAACCGATCACTACAGCAAACATGTGTAGCCACAGAAAAAATGACTATCGGGAAACACGTGGCATGATACACCTTTGGAAGACTGTAGAAACACATCACACTTTTAGAATATGACTGTAGAGAATCTTCCGCACCTTTCATAAATGTCCTGATACACCGCACCAGTATTCATAGTATCCACGTAAGGGCCACGTGGAAGGACTCTAACCAGCTTGCTCCTAGTAATCAAAGTAAACTGCATGCATATCATTCCCACTCACAGCTTGGGCCTGTATCTCAGGGTTTAGACCCCGACTCAAGAAGGGTGAAAACTAAAACTGTGAGCCATCAGTATTCGTATTAGCCACTCATAGCAATAAGGCAGCTTGCGAATTCCTTCTACACGCTCCCGCTGCCCTGGGTCAGCCGGTCATTCACCCTTGCCGCCCTGTGACACGACACCCTAAACGATTTTCTCGTATGCATTCTTGCTTTCTGTAATCCACTCTTTACACAGAGGCCGGCTGAGTTTTTTTCAAAGCAAATCTGCTTATTCTGTGATTAATCCTTCTCAGCCTGCCTGTCGTCCACAGGATCGGGTTCCAATCCCTTCGCACAGAACATGGCGTCCTCTGGGAACCAGCCCCATTCTCTCTCTCCTCTTGTCATCCTGCCTGACCTGGCCCGTCCTCGAGCTGCGGCCACACCCTGCCCACGGTACCCCATGGCTTGATTCTATGGCTCCCCTGACTGAGGTTCTTGGCCGCCAATTTCCTCCCCGTCCCCTGACTGACATCTGTCTGTTCTGGATGAACTTGAGCACCCCTTGCCCAGAGCTAGACAAGTTCCCTTCTATTCTCTTAAACACTCCAGGATACCTCTTCGATGGTACTTATCCATGCATTATATGTTTCTGATCCGTGTCTGCCTTCCGGCCTCAAACACGTTTTTTAAAAGCCGTTTGAAGGCATGGACTGTGACTCATTAGCCTTGTTTGTTCCTAGTGCCGTGTTTCGCAGAGGGTAGAAGGAAGAGAATAAATATCTGTTGGATGCCAAGGTGCACGAGGTGCTTTTCAGATTTTGAGCTGCCTGCGTGCATATTTTTATCACCTTGGAAGGATTCAAAAGTCAAAAGCACACATCCTTTCACCTCCTCATTCATATACTCAGTTTCTCAAATGGTATCTCCTGTTCCCCTTACTCTTTGTTTGGGACTTTTTCCCCAGTGGAGTCCTCTATGGGCAGACCAAATATAAGGAACTGAGAAGAGAAAGAGAAAGATAAGTGAAGAAATAATCATATGGGAAGTAGTAATAAAATGAAATTTTTTTAATTTCAAAATTTATATAATGTAACACAAATATGTAACCCTAAAGCAAACATGATTAAGAAAACAAAGTAGGGCAACCCCTTTGGGTCCCTTCCCACTGTGGGAGCTTTTCTGTCCTCTCAATAAATCCTGCTTTAAAAAAAAAAAAAAGAAAGAAAACAAAGTCTTATAGTCCTAATTTTTTCAACCATTTGCACGCATCTATCTAGTCATAGTAGAAACATAGTACTAACAATAGATAGCGTTGACTATACCTATCTAGTATTGACAAATATCTATCTATTCATAGTAGAAACTACAAACAGGAATCCAGTTTAAAGTCTGCTAAATGAAACTAAATCTTGCTATTTGCATCTTTAAAATGCATAAAAAATAACTTTATATACTTTCAATGATTAAATTTTTGTTTTTACTTTATAAAGATCCACCATCTCTATCTATAGCCATAGAACCAAAAAGAAAAAGAAAAAAATAGGAGTGAAACAGTTCTGTTTTTCCTTTCCACTTTTCTGCAGTGAATGTTACATACTAATATACCTATGCAATGGACTTTGAGAGTAGAATCCATCCATAGTTTTGATTACTAACATACATCAAAATTTTGATTTACTAGGGATGTGCTTAAAACAAACTCACTAAGAGACTGAGAGAATCTCTGCTCTATCTGTATGTTATCAATTATCAACTATTTTTCCAGTGAAAGTTCAGTAATTCTTGAACAGTGGCATGCCCCTAAAAAATACAAAAAAAAAAACTGTGTACAAATCTCCTATTTAAGAATATTTATTACAGCCAGGCTTGGTGGCTCAGCATGTAATCCCAGGACTTTGGGAGGCCAAAGCAAGTGGATTGTCTGAGCCTGCAGGTTCGAGACCAGCCCAGGCAAGTTGGTGAGACCTTGTTTCCACAATAAAATAAAAAAATAACCCGGCATGGTAGCGCGTGTCTGTAGTTCCAGCTCCTCGGAAGGCTGAGGCGGAAGGATCGCCGGAGCCCAGCAGGTGGACACTGGGTGGCTGTGAGCATGCATGCCACTGCACTCCAGCCTGGGCAAAGAAGTGAGACTCCAACTCTAAATAAAATAATAATAATATTTATTTTTATAAATTAGAAGTATTAATATGCTTATAAACTAATATAGCTTATTTACTATTTTATAGTAAATTTTATAGCTTATTTACTAAATTATAATTATTTTATACATTAAGTACACTAACAGAAATAAAAAATAAAAAATATAAATAGGTGTTCTACTATGTTCTTCCTAAACTTCAATATACAATGCAGAATATTGCAAGAAATTGCTTCCACACGAGGTCTAATTATCTCCCCTGGAACTACAATTAAATCTGGAGAAAACCTGGTGATTATGGCAACTAAGACACCAAAAGCAAAAAAGCCAGTGGTCTCATCAAGGTGTATTTTACTCCTTGCGAGAGGAACAGATCAAAGTGTGGGTGAATTAGCAGAAATCCATCCCACTGGAAACACACGCACACTTCAAACTGTGAGTTAGCGGAGATCTTGAACAACATCTAGTTCAGTAATTTTCCAAAAATTTGTATAACTGAGGAATATTTTATTTTCAAGTGAACCCCTCAGCAAAAAGCCAATATACAAGATGGACACAAGCAGAACTCCTCTGGGTACCTCTGGCTTCAAGGTCAGGACTCTACCCACTCTCCCTCTCACCCCCTTTCCCCGCTCCAGGGGCACACAGTAATTTGAGAACTACATGCCACACTGCCATTTTAGCAGTGAGATTACCAGGCTGGAGATGGAACAAGCAGTCATTTCAAGACAGAATGTAACAAAGTATTAAAAAGATGTAAAGCATTAATCCCAGATGCCGTCCATCTTCCCTTTTTGTGCCCCTGACTTGTTTTCAGGTTCTGGTTTCCCTGAACATCTCAAGCTGATCCCAGTTGTAAATGAAAATATTTAAACCATGAGCTGATAGGATTTAAGGTAATTTTCACTTCCACTTCTAGAGTTTGGTAAACAATAAATATTTATTTTCTCTTCCAAATATATATTTTGTAACTTAAAAGTTTTGATTACTCAAGCAGCCAGCCCATATCAATCTGCAAATATATGTGTAAAGGAAGATAATCTGTCAAGCCTCAAGCACAAAATTTCAGGCGGTGACCAAAATCTCATAGGTAAAGATAAATAATATGTGAACGCAACATATTTCAAAAAACAAAATTTGTGCCCAAAAGACCTGTGAAGAACAAAATGTCAAAATTCTAAATACATGTTCAACCTGAACTTGTATAACTCAGCCTTACATGTCTCACCGGGTCCGGGGACTGCATTGAAAAATGAAGTTCAACTATTAAAATTATGCCAGATTAGTTATATTATATCAATTTATGCCTCATGACACCAAGGATTGTAGAGGGAGAAGGAAATGTAGTTGGGAGGACAAAGTCCAGTCAGAGGCATGTTCTGCTATAAAGACCTTTATACTCCAATCTGCAGGGCTGGGGATTAGGCTAAGTAGCTCTAGAACAGTAAGCAACTAGAAAACTACAGCACACAAGCTAAGACTTCGCCTATGCTTGCATTTGAGCATTTCATGGTGTCAGTGAGCTACTAAATCTAGTTATAGCTGCTTCCATAAGCATCATTTTCCACTTTTGTTTTGTTTTTAGAAGCAAGTCATAGCTCTAAAGGGCATAAAAATCTGAAAGTTGAAATGTGTCAGGTGGATGTCATCTGACTCTGTAAAGCAAATTAACCATCTCAACTGTAAGTTTTAAAAGACTGTTCTTAGGAAGATGTATTTAACCTCTCAAGCATTACAACGGTGAAAACAACCACCAAGGAGATGAAACATGGTGACATTAGAGAAGATGTACGCTCATGAGGACGTTTTCTGTCCACAAAACCCGAAGGAACGAGCTCAGAGAAACAAATTACTCTGACACACAGTAGACCCTTAACACATGGCTATTGAATGAATAATTTTTAAAAAGAAAGTTGAAAAAAGGCTGAAAACAGGTAGACCAGGACCAGATTATAAAAAGTTTTGACACAGAGGCTATGCTGTGGGCTACTGAGCAGAGCTGTAATGAGACTTAACCAAAAGAGTGATTTTTTTTTTTTGAGTTGGAGTCTCATTCTGTCGCCCAGACTGGAGGGCAGTGGCCGCTCCCGGCCACCGCAGCCTCGACCCGTTGGGCTCCGGCGATCCTTCCGCCTCAGCTTTTCGAGTAGCCGGAATTATAGGCGCGCGCTACCACGCCCGGCTGATTTTTTGATTTATTGTAGAGATGAGGTCTCGCTGCCCGGGTGGGTCTCGAGCCCGCGGGCTCAGGCAATCCACTCACCTCAGCCTCCCAAAGGCGTGGATTACAGGCTGAGCCACCGAGCCCAGCCAAGAGTGATTCTTTAAAGGAAA